GGCGGGTGCTCGACGTGATGTTATGTTATCGCATGCATTATTCAGCGAGCGGCGAAAGCGGCAATTTGCGACAATATCCACCGATTCGCAGAACCGTCCGACTGTTGAGCCGCCGCCGAGCCATAAAACAGGATGCCCGTCACTCAATAACTACGGTGAATTTAAATAAAACCTTACTAGTACAAATTATGAGCTCTGCACCTTTCACGCACGGAAAATTTTCACTATGTTTATTAGGTTCTCAATCGGACGTTTGCATATCGAAACGCTATGCATCTACGAGAATCTAGGTTATATTATTAAAATATTTCAACATATGGAGGTTTATCATTTTGTAAGCTTAATTAGATGGTCGCGTTGAGAAATAGCGTGTTTATGTAGTTTTGTTTGAGATGTTGATTTGTAAATAAGCGTGGCCTCCGACGCGTGTTCTCTGTTTCATTATACAGTAAGTGATCGCGGAACATTCTCTATAAACGATATTTTAATTGCAATATTATATGACATACATATAGAAACAAGGCAGTCAAGCAAAAGATGTTTTCGGAAATCATAACAGACGAGGAATTGTTTCATCATCATAATAGGTAGGTACAATCATTGAAAAGGCGGCGTAGAATGTATGAACGTTATATGTTGTAACGTAAACGTCAAAAAATCTGGTGTTTTGAATGAAGTTGCGTCATTATAGTGAATCCTTGTTGCTGCAATTGTTTACACTAAAAAGAAGATGACCTACTTAATTCTATTAACAGGCATTCACACCAAGCCGCGAGAAATGTGAATGAAATATCCATGTCGTGTTGCTTTACAAACTTTCACAAATTTCTGTTTTGATTGGTGTTACCTCAGCGAGGCACCGAACGTACGAGCGGCGAGCGAAGCGGAGATCGTACGCACTGTTATACAAGTTCGATACTTGCCTACTTTGTATTACACATACGAGTATATACAATGCGAGGACAATACGACTAACTCGGTTTGCGAGAAGTCGGTCAAAATGAACTATTGTAGCCCGAGTGATACATTTATGATTTTGCTCTTTATCTGGTATATATGTGAAAAATGTTTGACATTTTTCTGGTTAACACTTCTATAATTGGATAACACAACTTGGATTAAAATGTACTATCGATCTGGTGGTTTGGGAGGTTTTCGTAAAGATAGGCGCGGCAACGACGCAATAACCGCGCTGCGAACCGGCTTCAAGCAGCCGGAGCAGCGCC